AGCTGTGACATCTATGCTAGGTACTATGCATAGTACATACCTGGATGCCAGTCCTTTGTGTGACTGTAGGATGCTACAATACAAGGATGTCAACTACTCCCATTTCTTGGCTAGGGGTCAGACCCTGAAAAGGATAGAATTCTTCTGGGTTCATAAGTTCTTGTGACTCCCAATGGTTCAGGAACTCCCAAGGGTTCAGGCCATGTGCAGTGCATTCTGAATTCTTCTACTTGTTCTTGGGGTAAGAGCCATGATGCACAGCAAGCACTCCAGGGTGAACACAGGCCTGGGATGAATACTGTTACAGAAAGGGAGATTGGTTGGGTGCTATACAAAGTTGAAAGTACTAGTATTTGGGCCAGTAGAGTGTTTTGGGTTTGGGGAATAGGTGGTTATTTGCCTTCAGTACACAAAATACCAAAGGATTTCCTGTCTCTCACTTGCCGGATACTTCTTTTTGTTATCTCATTGTTTCTCACTTTGTTTTTCAGAAAAACTGTGATTCAAGGAAACCACCATGAAAGGTGAGGAAGTTCGGCAGAGGAGGAAAGAGGGCAGGACTAAGAATGGAGAGCGATCCAGGCACAAAGGAAGGAGCAAGGGTAAACACAGAGAGAGCCGACTTGGCAGCCAGGAGGCAGAGGATGTCTCTCTGCATGCACAGCAGAAGCTGTTGGCTGAGGAGAAAGTGGCCATGGCAAAGTCACAGGAAGAGTCAGCCATCTCAATTTGCCTGCAAGTGCTCCTACCATACCTCCTAGCTGGGCTTGGCATGGTCTTGGCAGGCATGGTTTTGGATTATGTTCAGGTAAGGGAAAGAAACTCATCTGACATACCTGATATGGGATAGGTGGGGGACTTTTCTTCAGAGGCAGAGGATTTGCTCCGTGAACGGCACAGTAAGGGAGAATTTGCAGCAGTTTCACATGCCACCATGTCCTTCAGTCAGCTACTAAGTAGTTCTGTATGGCTCTCAGGAGACAGCATGTGGGGCTTTTTTGGCCCCTTTTCTCCCCTGGAGAAAAAAGACAATATGATGCTAAAGTGTACACAAAGAACATGAGGTATCTATGTAGGAATGTGCAGTCCTGTGCAAAGATCTCACCTTGGTCCTTGAAAGAGGGTGGGTGACCTGCAGCCCCAAGGGCTGTGGTGACACAGTGCTTTCCTGCAGTAGATAGAGCAGTATCACTCACGGATGTGGCTCTGGATAGTCCTGCATCTGCTGCTTCATTGTGCAAGGCATCAGCCAGCCCAGCACTGTTAACACTTCATACAACCAGCCCAGCCCAGCCTATGCACCACACCCTTGACTGAGGCCTCATACAGATGACTTGAGGTTCTTCCATTTCAGGTTCTAATTCTGTGATGGTCAGGATGAGACCTTCCCTCCTATGGTGCAGCAGTACAGAGCACCTGATTTTAGACAGTTTAAAGATGCAGTTAATTTCCAGATTATAAATTGCTGTGCCTTTGCACTCTGGGTGACTCTCACTACTGCATGCCTTTTTGTTAACCCTTGTTATTTGACTAAGTAGCTGTGAGGTCAGACTATTCTGAAACTGACACTGAAACTACTGTGCTTGCATTGACAACTTTCACAAATCTGGAGCTGTGTTACTTTGTTATTAACCCAGGGTTGATCTCCCTAAGCTAGAAGAGCTGTAAAGGCTTAAGAGCGACACAATATCCTTAACTGACCTTACCATGCACTCAGTACCCCGCAGAATGTCTCATCAGATCGCAAAATGCCAAGGCAAAGCCAGAACCCAGTGACAAACTAGTTTGTGTCTCCTTTGACATTATTCTGAGACTCTTGAGTGTTGAGCAGCCACTTCCGATTTTATTTTTTAGACTGTTTAGACCTGCCCAGCCTTATGGATCTCTGACATTAAATGTATGTTGCTTCCTGTTGTGAGTTATTAAAGTGTGAAATAAGTTGCAGATGGGTTTATGACGTTGAAGGAGTGTTTTTCTTTCAATGTTTCTTCCCTGGGAGTTGCTTTTGTTTTTTTTTTTTTCTAGGAAGAACTGGGCCACTAATACAAACAGAATGTGAGGCAAACCTCACTCTCCTCTGAAACTGCAAAAGTCTGCTTTCTGTTTTTGAAATAAAGAGCTCACAAAGAGCTGTCATGTTAGTGCTTAGAGTCTGGGAAATCAACCCGTGCCACATCTCATAGAAAGCACAGGCCTTTGGCAACTAGCACAGAGGTTGTTTGTGCATGATTGTGGGCTACTTGAGCGTGTCTCATCATGGACTTGCTGCTACTGGAAACTGCCCTTCCTTCCTGAGCCAGTCCTGGCCTTTGCCCTGGCTGCTGCTGTTGTTTCTGTGAAACAACAGTGGATGCTATGGGGCTCTGCATCTGCCTGCTCTCAGTCTCCCCACTTAACTTCTCTTCTCTGCCCTTTCCCAAAGTGGGAAGAGAAGAGTCAGGAGTGATAGTACTTGAACAAATGGGATGTACAGTCCCTGCAAAACGTTGTCATACCATGAGTCCAAGGTGTTGGAATAGTGCTGCCTGTTGCTAACAGGAATGTTGTAAAAGCATTCACTTGTCTTCCTGTCTCTTCTTTGCAGGGATGATAAGGTACATATGAAACTGTGTTCTTTGGCACTTGTCATCTTTCTGTTCTGTGTTTTGTACCGTGGCAGTGGATGGAGGCCCTAGGTCAGGGTCAGGACTCACCCAAGTCTGCTTCTGCTTTGACTCCTCCAAGGCAATGCTACTTGTTGGCTAGTTTGCAAGTGTGGGGATACAGTGTATCTGTGTGCAGAGAAGGGCAGCAGTGTACCTCCCCAGGCTTTGCCTTGATGAGTGGTATGAAAATAAGATGGTTGGTTTGGAGTTTTTTTCTCCGACTAGTTATAATCTTCTCCCCACTGTTGAGCAACTCTCTCTTTCTTCCCAAACCTGATGCATCTCTTTGTGGACAAATATGGTATATATCTTTGCCAGGAAAATATGAGGCATCTCTCTGCTGACAAATATGGTGTGGATCTTTATCAGAGGCTCCTTAAATGCATAATAAAATGACCCAGTGTACACACGCGGGTCACCTGCACCAATTGCCTTCTCTGCATACTGATTCATCGGTTGAGGGCTTTTTATGGTGCTTGCTTAGAAACAGGGAGAGCCAAAGCGTTATAAACTTAATAAACCCTGCCGGGCTGACGCTTCGGTACAGGCTGTGTTGCTGCTCTGTTTTTTAATGGCATTTGAGTCATTCAGACTCATTAATATTTTCTTTACGTTAATGTTTCTGCCCGATATCAATCCAGTTGACTGATACAGCAGTGCGTGGGACTAGGTGTGCACGTTATTAGACCTTGAAAACCTATGGTAGTTTCCCAGAAATTGTCTTTTGTTTCCTTGAAGGAAGGTCCACAAGCCATTAACCTTTACGTCTCTGCAGAAAGTGATTGGGAAGGGGTTGATCCATCCAAATTGTGTTTTTAAAATTTTTTTACCCTCTGATTCAATTAGTCTACCCAAATTAATTATTAGAAAGGATCCCCAACGTAATATCCTGACTCCTTTCCCTACATGTGTGACTTCGAGCTGAAGCCTTTACTGAACAGGATAAAATTTTTTGGCAGTATGTGGCCATGGTGCAGCTCTGGTTTTTGACCCTGTGTCAGATGCTTTATCATGGAATCTCTGGGATGAGATCCCCTCTCTCAAAGACAGCAGCTTCCTGGGAGCATGCAGAAGCAGTGTGTTTCACTTTAGGACAGGAAGGGACACCAGCTCAGAGAGTGTCCTTTCTCTCCCTTGCCTGCGGTGTAGTGAGATTATGGAGCTACCTTAAATAAGCTCTGGCTATGACTCTTATCTTGGCCTTTGCAAACTAGCAGAAAGTTGAAGTGATGACAGCAGATAAGGGTGTTCACTTCTGAAGCTTATTGGCTGGTTCTCTGAACTTTTTTTTTCCCCCGAGAGCCAGTCATTCAGAGGTACAGCTGGCACAGACCGATTGTTATATGCTGCGGAGACCACGGAGGGGACACGAGGGGCCGGGGTCCAGAAGTGCAGATCTTCTCGCACCAGCTGGCTCAGCTGTGTCACTTGCCTGGGGATGAGACCTGTGTAATATCGTCGGCTGTGAGAAACATGGCCCCGTGCTTTCCTTGACCTTTCTTCACCTTGAAGAAGCGCAAAATGGATCAGGGTTTTTAACTCCCCACCTCCTCAGCCTTGGGACAGTGAGAAAAGTTCAGTGGTGCTTACGGTGGGAGTGAAGGGACTGGGGCCGGTTCAAGCAGGCTTACATATTAAACCGTCGTACCAAACGCAAGCCGCGGTCTGACAAGAAATGTAACCCGAGGAGAGAGGACACCAGTGCGTTTGAGCACGCTGAGGGATTCTTGCATGACCTGTCACTCTTTCAGTGCCGTAGCCTGAGCAGGTCTTACTGGTTTTTGCCGAAGTGGTGGGAGCTGAATGGGGTGTGGGCTCATTTCTATTCATCCTCAGACGTCTCTGCAATCTTCTCTTCTCTTTTTTAATTTCCCCCTGGATATAAATCAGAGAAATTGTGTCCATCAAGTTTGCTGCCACCTGAGCTCAACCCAGCTGAATCAATTTTGGAGGATACCCTTGCTGCAATCCTCTGGATGTGCTCCTAAGAGAAGAAGAAGCTAAACCAATTTGGTATCGTTGCTGTAGTTTGAGGAAAAACATTTCTTCTGACTTCGGAGAGAGCTACAAGAAGGATCTGTATGATGTCCTGATCTCCCTCCATTTTCCCTGCTGAGCATGGGGTAACAGTGTGTGACCATGGTGGTCACTCAGTTACAACTGGAACTGTGCTTCCACGGCAAGAAACTGAGAGGTTTCACCTGCAAGTTGACCAGATCAGCCAGTGGATTTCTCCCAGAGACTTCATTCTCCATTGCCTCCCAGATTTTCGTGCCATTCCTTCTGGCTGGCTTGGGAATGGTAGCTGCTGGCCTCTTGATGGATGTTGTTCAAGTAGGTGCATGTGGTTAGGAAACCTGTAGTGAGAGGGGGGGCTAAGACACTGACCTCGAGTATTTGTGCTTTTTTGTTTTTAATTTGTGTGGTCCTAGCAGCCAGTCAGTAGGATGGCTGTAGGCTTTCTCCTGAGCTAGAGAGACACTATCCATATTCTTTAGATCAGTAGCTGGGCTCCTCATAAAGTGGGATAGCGGCTTTCAGACAGGCTGTGTAACACTGCACTTGGTGCATTAGACTGGGTGCTCCCTTTTCTGTATTGAGCTAAAACACTTTGGGGGTGACTGCTATGAAGCAACTGGATCAGAGTACAGCACACTCCCCTGTTGCATGATATTATTTTTTTCCTTCAAAAATTGCTGATAAGGAGATCTAGGTCAGGGTTGTTATTAGCTACCTGTCTTACTTAGAAGAAAGTTCATGCTTTCAGTTCTTTGCAAACAACCTAGTGTAATATTTGCTCTAGAAGGCATTTAGATACTGTTATGAGAGGCTTGCCAGCATAAAACAATTAGCATTGCCTACAAACAGTGCTTCTCAGGCAGCTTCTGAAGTGGATATAAATTTGGAATAACTTCCATTGACTTCCAGGGAGTGCTGCTGCATTTACACCATTGTGCCCACTACCAGAATCTATCCCATCTGTCTTTCCTTTGTACCAGTGGCACAAATAGAAATGTAAAATTTGATCTAGTTTGGGTGTCTCATGCCAGTGTATTTACAAATCAAAAGGCTGGCAGAGTTTCCCGAGGATATATCCTGCAGTCTGAGCTCACTGGAGTACATTGGATTCTCTGGCATTAATACCACAAGAGGAGCTAAATATGGATACTTGAATGTTTGGAAAGACAATACCTTGCTGGTTTTTTCTTGCATTAGAAGAAACAAAGAGGACAGAGAAGTTGAATTAAAGAGAGTATGAGGAATATCAAAGAAGGGTTAACTGAAGTGGCACACACTGTTGCTGTGCTGTTTGTCATCTCCACCTTGTGCCGTGCTTAGGCACAGACCTGTCTTGCAGCATTACAGAAGTTCTCAAAGTACCCAAGATGTTAGCAGTTATCTCAGAGAAGAATAAAGACATAGTACATACCTTGGAGTGAAGAAATAGAACACACTTGCTAAGAACTGGTCTCTGTTCAAAAATGTAACTGTATCCAAACTGATGGAAAACACATGTATACCATGTTGCATGTGTCCTTTAAATACCAGTGTGCACCCTAGTTTGTGTATTTGTTCATTAGACTCTTTGAAATGGAGTCACACATAAAGCGCAACCACAGGAACTGTATTTGTTGGTGAAGGTCTTTCCAACTATATTGAAAAAGAAGCCATCAGTCCATGGGTTCAGTTCCCAGAGGAGGCAGCCCAGTGCATTGAGAGTCACAGTTGGCATAGGAGAGATGTTAGTGAGGTGAACTACCACAGTGTCAACAACCATGTATCAATAACATCTAAAACCAAAACCAGTAGCTGGGAAAATCCAGAGATCTTAGCCTTTAAAGGTTTGGAATACTCTTCTATGCTTCTTTGTCTCTGAGCTGTTTATTTTCAGCTTTTCTTGCTGCAAGTGTGAGAGCTAGAAACTCACTGTCCTGTCCAACTAAAACTTGAGTTTAAGTTTGTTTGCTTGAGGTACTGTAGGACTTATATTGCCAATCATGAGGGCTCACACTACTAAAACTACAGGTTTTTCTGGTCCTGGAGTCTGTGATTTGCCCATTTTTTCAGTGGTTGGTCTGGCTGAGGAATGCTTTATCCTATTTGCATTCACTGTAAAATGTTCTTAGGAAACTCTGTGTTTGCCTTTGACAGGGAGAAATATGAGCAAGCTCAAGGATTGTATCAAGAGCATATGTGTGAGTTTAATGCAGCTGCCCTTGTTTTATTACATACAAAATATCTTGAAATAATTTGGTTCTGTGCTGGGAGTCGAGCTGACACTCTTTTTCAGGGCTGACGTCATTGTAAAGAGGACAACAAAGTGGAAATTGCTAGTCTGTGTCCTATCAAACTTGCCAGGATTTTAGCAGTTTCTGATCCATCCTGGGATGAAACCAAGAACTGTTCATGTTACTGTTTACAAGAAAAACCAGCAAGAGAGATTTGTCGAACCCAGTTGACTCTAAGGCTCAAACCTGAGTCTCTCATACTGTAATAAAAAGACACCCAAAGAAATAGCTGTTTGCCATTTTCTCTTCCTGGATGTGCAGATGATGCAGTCTCTCTGCAGGGCTGATAGCGTGGCACTGGTCTTTTCTTGTTGGATGTTTCTGCATCTGCTCCAGTGATCCTTGGCCAGCTGGTTGATCCAGATTCTAGGCTGGTTGGCATTGCTGGAGACCTTGCAGGGCCCTGCCAGTGTTTGGCCCACTCTTTTACAGTAAGGTGAAGAATCAGATTGAAGTTGCATGATCAGATTTCAAACCAGAGAGTTCAGGAGGAAAGCTTCCCTTTATTTCTCCCCTTTCATGCCTCTCCAGTGGGACACAGTCCACATAAAAGTCACAGACAAGATATCCCTGTCCTTTGTTGATAAAAGCCCATGAGACGATGGGCATTGTAAACGATTTTGTAATGGCTTCCTTTTTTACTCCAGGATATTTTTGATATTTGGCTTGTTCAGAGCAATGAAAAACCTCTGAGGCTTCTGAGCTGCTGCCATGGGAGATGGATGTCCTGGAGAGGTAACAGGGCATGTTTAGGACAGTGAGGACAATGTGAGGATCTACAGCAGGGCTGGACTGCAGCTGGGGAGGCTGGCTCAGTACATCACAGCTTCCCTTCCTCTGAGGGACCCCCTGGTCAGATCCAACTGCTGTGGGGACCAGCTGCAGTGGAACACGGGGTTAACCAAGTTTCTTCAGAGCTCAGTTTTAGGGCTGAAGCTCCGTTATGGAGATGTGAAGTTGGAAAGAGTCTCTTTCTGGCTCTGTGTCCCTGTGTGGGTTTGCAATGCTGCATGGAATGTTTCTGTTCCTTCTAGGCCAGTTTTCATCTCCAAGGACAGAGACAATTCCTAGACTTAGTTCAACTGTCTTTATTCAAGCACTTCCTTGCCTGCATAGCACTAACCTGCCCCGCTCACCCACTCCTCCAGCTGACAGTCCTGACAGTCCTGCAAGTCAATGGCACAGGCATCATCTGTTTATTCTGTATTTCTGCAGTTGCTAACATGATGGAGTCCTGGATACTGTGGTAGAAATCATTATGAATTTGTCCTTAGGCTATTGGTGAGTCACTAATGAGACTCAAATAGAGGCAATTAAGTCAGCTTTTTTTATCAGTATGGTTGTGTGATTATTAATTGTTCAGAGCCTTTAAGTTTAATGGTACATAAGGCAGAGTCCCAGAAAATCATACCTCATATGCTGAAACTTCTGTTATGATGGTTTGAGACCTGCAAAATTAATCATGAACAAAAGTATTGGAGCTTACCTAGATATATCAAAATCATATTTCCCAAAGATAACATGCACAGGAAATACAAAGAGTTGAGAGGTTTTGTTACTTACTTATATGTATTTTTATATGCAAGATATCCAAGGTCTTAAGTATAAATGTCTTCACATCTCTGTATTTTAAATGGGTGGGGGTTTTAACATTGTGACTATGAAGTCTGTTTTTTCTCCTCTTTCTTTTGAAGGATTCAAAGATTGTTTGGATCTTTATTCTTAATCAAAAAGAGGAGAGATGGGGATATTAATCTTTAAAAGAGATGTTCACCCCTAGCTTTCCTCAGGTATTTAGGTTCCATGTTAAGAAATTTAAACAAAATTATAATGTGTCATATAAGGTGATTATTTTTGTGTTGTTGATTATTTACTCAACAGTAACTAACTTACCTTTAACATTTTGAAACATGCCTGTTTCCAGGCCACTACTGCCAGGAAATATGCCTTTTTTACATTGATAATAATGTTTTGCCTCTTATCTGCACGTCTGAGGGGTGTCTTGCACCACGTGCTCAGGACTGGCTCAACCCCACTTTCATGCCAGCTTCCTGAGAAGGAAGCTGTGAGGTCTTCCCAGCAGACAGCCACACCACTGGCTTCCCACAGCTTCCCATGGCACAGCCAAAGCAAAACACCAAGCTGTTACACCCTGCACATATTTCCTAAGAGGCACACAGCTGAATGTGTCAACATTTATTGAGTCTGTCCAACCTCCTAGACTTTCAGGTTTATAGAATCACTATGGATGTGAAACAGGTGGGCAGGGATATGTTGTTTGTTTTCTTCTCTAGTGCCAGATTTCGGGACCATCATGGGATACTAGAGAGTGACAAGATGAAATTAATGAACACATTGATCCTTCACATGACACGTAGCTAAACTATGGAAATTGTTGCCACGGGATGGTACATGGGTTGGAGGGGGGAGATTGGATGAGCACCTGAAAGAGCAATCCTTTCATCAGTGGTAAGTGTGCAGAAAAGCCTCACCAGCTCTGTACCCTGTGACAGACAGTCATAGGCTGGAAAATACACAGGAGAATTATCCCATTTACTTGTCATATTTGTAGATATGTTTTATACACCTGAATTTGACTACTGGTGGAGCTAAGGATGGGTTAGATGAACCTGTGACCTGACTCACGGCAATCAGTCTTTTTTTCTTGTATTCTGCTCTTAGATGATTGTTGGTTTTACTTCATACTGAGCTGCCCCATTCTGTGATTTCATCCTGATGTAAACCTCTCTGGCTACAGTGGGACTTTGAATGCACAGAGGGGGGAATGCATCCTTGAATGCACAGAGGGGGGAATGAATTATGTTCCAAGGCACTGTATGGTCCATAAATTAGAGAAGACACGTCAGTCAACAAAGTTTCTTAAGGTCTCAGATCATCTCTAGTGTTGCAGCTGATCCAACAGCTTTGTTTAGTTCAGCTTCAGAGAAGCAACAACGGTCAGGATACTGGCTCAGCTGTTCAGCTTATGAGATATCTTAATTCAAAATCCTTTTTCCAGCTGTGCTGGGAACATACTTGGTAACAGGAAGATTTAGGAACTGCCTGTGGAGAAGAGATGCACAAATCTCCTTCCCTTCCACCACCAGTCTTAGATGCTTAGTTTGAAGTTTGGTAAGAGAAGACAGACACAACTTTTTGTTGTTAGATCGTTTTCAGATCTTTGTGTTTATTTTTATGAGTCTATTTAGCAATAGATGTTCATGTATCCAGTGTCAGTGCAAAGGATGGAGAACATGCTGTATTTCATTTGGCTTGTGAACCCTAATTATTTTTCATGTTATTCTTGGCTAATGCAAAAGGCACATTTTAATTTGTGGCTTTCCAAAATCTTCTGTTACCCTCAGGAAGAAAGACTGTTCCCTGTTAGGATAGTGCTTTATTGTGCATGAGATGAGAAAGAACACTGCAAGCTGAGAATTCCTTCCTTCACTCCCAAAATGCAACAACAAAGTGCAACAGGGCAGCATCTGCCCCCATGTGCAGATACCTGTGGAGCAACAGCATTGGACTGGTCAGCATCATAAACTGAAGTTGTTGCCTTTGTTTTTTTCCAGCACTGGGATGTGTTTCGGACAATTACCGAAGTGTTTATCCTGGTTCCTGCCTTGGTTGGCCTGAAGGGCAATCTGGAGATGACACTGGCATCCAGGCTCTCTACTGCTGTGAGTGTTAACAAGGTGGTGGCTGTGTGTGTGGGGAGGGGGGTGATTAGCAGGAGACATCAGGAGATTCTCCATTTATATAATCACAATATGTATGAGATATGCCCTTTTCTGCTAAGTGGAAACTAGTGGTGTGTGAGTGTTAGAATAATGTGTTTGCCCTCATTTTGTAACTGGAACAGAGAATTTCCATCTGTGCTTTGAAGGTGAATTAATCCCTGGGTGGCCAGTTGCTGATATTTGGGGCCCTGTGACACATGAAGGAGACGAAGACAGGACTCCACAGCTGTCAGCTTCAGTATTGGATTGCTTTTCTGCGGGTATTGATTCTTGAGAGGCCAGGGCTTCCCAACTATCCTAACTCGGGGGGAGCAGACTGAGGCTTCTTGGAACGTGCAGCAGCTTTTGCTACTCTATTTGATCTCTTGTATCTCCCTAAGCTGTTTTGTTTACTTTGGGCTGTTTATGTTACATGTCTCAGGAGAATTTGGAGCTTAACAGAGCAATTTAGGGGGAACAAAGAAGGAAAATTGGTTTAGTTTGTTTAGCTTTTTCTCTGTGTGGGATGTGATGGATATGCCCACTCCACATTTAGCTGAGTGCCCGGCAATACCTCTGCACCTCCAATGTGAACCTCTGATGCCCCTGGGACATTGGGCTAGAGCATGATGGAGAAGTGTCAAGAAGCAAGTGCAGGGAAGGCTGGGGGATGATGACCTGCAGTTGCCTCTCTCTGACTTTAACAGCCTCTTTTCCACAGGGACCAGGTGAAACTGCCTTCAGCAGCCACCTGTGCCACAGAAACAGGCTTTCAGGGTATCTCTCTTGACTCCTAGGCTAACACTGGACAGATGGATGATACCCAGAAGCAATGGAAAATGGCCACCTGCAATTTAGCCCTTATCCAGGTGAGTCACTTCAGCTGGGAGATGAAAAAGTCCCTCTTCTCTTGCTATGCTGCAGACCAACAGCATCTCTTCCCAGCAGTGCTGAACCCAGAGCAGGTGATTTGGGGTGGGTATTCTCAACAGAGCCAAGCAGAGCCAGGGCTTTACTTCCAATAAAGCTCTGTGTGACCCAGAGTTTGTAGTTTAGCTGCAAAATACATCTAGACATTCGTTGTCTTTGTGGGCAAACTGAAATAATAAAAAAACTCCTTTTGCAGGGGGAGCTATATCACAGTCCCTGTTTCACAACAGCTCCCAGATAAACAGCTCCCACTGTCATTTACTGACAGTGTTTGGGAATCAGCCTTGGGCAGGAGGGGAGAGGTGGGAGAAATGTGCCTCTTGTAGCTCTTTCTGCTTGTTAAAATCCAGCAACTAGCCTAGAGTTTTCACATGGCAAGACCACAAGGCTTGCAACGTGTGTCTATGTGCTTTCCCTTATCTCCTTCCTCAGCTTTCAGGAGTGCTGCCTTGATGGGGATCCCATTTTTGTGTTGACCAGGACTATTCCTTTGCTGATGGACTCAATGTCCTTTGCTGAAATGTTATCTGGCCTTTGCAGACCTTCAGAGTTTTTCTCCAAACTTTGTCAGGATTTCTTTTGAATCTAGTGGAGCCTCACAGGGATGCTGCTTAAATACATAAGCAATCAGCATCTGTGCCAGGCTGTGCCCTCTGAGCTATGTGACAGCACTACAGTCGTGTGGAGCCAGGGCTGCCTGGAAACAGAAGTGGATGATTGCTCACCAGCTGTCTTTTGATCCCCAGGTCCAGGCCACTGTGGTGGGACTGCTGGCTGCTGTTGCTGCTGTGATCCTGGGGGCCATCTCTAAGGGGTCTGTGGAGCTGAGCCAGGCTGCTGTGCTGTGTGCCAGCAGCGTGACCACGGCCTTCATAGCTGCACTGTCACTTGGTGAGTCTTTTTGGTTCCTCAGATCAAACATGCAGCAGTCAGGTGTGGAATAAACTGCCTCTTCTGCTGGGGAGACCCAGCTGACATGCCTCTGCTCTGGCAGAGGGAGGAGGGATGGAGGGAGCATGAGTCCTATGTGTGCTGCTTTCATCCCCTCTGCATCCTGCCTATGCTTCTCTTCTCCCGTGATCTGTTGTTCGCTGGACTCTTGACATCCACAGCAGCAATCAGAATGTCCTTCACAATGCCCCATGCTGTGCATGGAAGTACATAAACATGTACATACTTACTCCATGTCTCCTGGGTGACACATGAGACATCTACACTGGCCCTTTCTCTAGGGGACGGTGAACTAATATCATGCACAAAGCAGGAAATGGAGAGTCTGTTAGCAGACAACTCCAGACCATGCTCAAGATGGACTTGGGTCACCCAATACCCTGGGCAGAGTTGTGGCCAGCCCTGTGGCTTGCCTGCTATGAGCTCACAGCTGGGCACTCCTCCTCCCTGGCTCTTCCACTTCCAGGGAAGTGTGATGGGCTGGATGGTAGGATCTGTTCTGAGTGGCCTGAAGATCATCAGTTTGTAGGTCTGCCATATGAGGGCAGCATGATACCCTGAATAGAGTCAGCTGGCAGAGTCAAATAAAGCAAGTTTTCTAAATGAAAGGAACAAGTTAGAACAAGAGCATATCCTGAAGCTGGAGTCAAAGGGTGATTGTAGATGCCTTTCATGAAAAGCATGGCATGAGGCAGTTGTTAAAAACAGCTTTCATTACTCTTCCCTACAATCTCCCTGCTTGGTGTGATACAGATAGGCTTTGTTGCTGTACTGTCACAGGCTTGCTGCTGGCATTAGTTTCTTCCCTGGACATGGTCACAGGCAGCCTGTGTGTGGGTGTGCACAACGGGAAGCTGCTATTTTTATGGCCAGGGAGGGAAACAGCATGAACTGTGCTGTGGCGAGGGGAGTGTGGGTGTCTAGGATGACTCTTGTGGAAATGCCATGTTGTGTGAGGATGTGTTTCTATATAGGGGATTTTGTATCAAGGAAGGTGCACATGTGGCATTTCTTATGGGAGAGCTGATCATCCATCTGACCATCTTATGGTCAGCTCTGGTGGGGCTGTATGGATAAGCACAGAGGAGTTGTGAGCTGGAGGGAACCACCATCTCTTGAGCTTTCTTTGCTGTGTACTGTCAACCATGGAAGGACTTTGAAAACATGTCATTTGTCTTGTCTTAAGGCTGCCCTTGCTAGTCACACAGCAGTGGAGGCTAGCCAGGCAGGGTTTATTCCAGTTAGCTTATCCGCAGGCCTGTGAGAGATCTGACGGCTGAGAGATTGCCACATGTTCATCAGGGTTTGGGGTTTGTATTCCTTAACTCACCTGGGCAAGCAAAACTTCCCTCCTCTCCAAGAATGCCGAAAAGCAGCTGAATTTTCCAGGTGCAGCTCAAAGGACAAGGGAAGAGAGGTGATGTGGGCCATCTCCATAATGCTCAGAGCATCAACATCCACACAGTGCAAATTAAAGCAGCCCCAAAGGCTCTGGGGCATGAGGGGTCAGTTTGATGGATGGACTGAAATGCTAATGCAGGCTACTGTAAAGAAGCTTGTTTCTCCCTGGTGATTCAAACTTTGAGAAATTTTGGTCTAATATGGAAAATATCTTTGTGTTGTGGAATCCAGAGCAGGGGATGGCACTAGGGCTGCATGCCTGCTGTGTGCTTATCTCTGAGTGTGCTTCGTGCTTGGTCCTCCTTCAAGGCAGCCGAGATTAGGCTGCTCAGGAGGGAAGCTTCTACATTTGGGCTGCCTGCTGGTATCTCCTTTGATCCCTGGAATTTGCTTGTGTGCCTCGGGGCCTTTGGAGCAGTTCATAAGGGCAGTCATGCCCTTCAGGTTGGTGAAAGCAAGAGGGCAAACTCCTGAGGATGTCCAATCTCCAGCTGCGTGGTGCTGGTATGGGTAATCTGCTTCTCACTTTTCTTAGACCCCCATGTCCCTCTGGGAGCCAGAACAGCAGCTCTGGGGTGAAAAACAGCAGGATACATTCTCTGATGCTTGCTCTCTGTCTTCTCTAGGTCTGGTGATGATTGGCGTGATCATCGGAGCAAGGAAAGTTGGGATCAATCCAGACAATGTTGCCACACCCATAGCAGCAAGCCTTGGAGACTTGATAACCCTTTCCCTGCTGGCGGGAATCAGCAGTACACTCTTCAAATACATAGGTACAGTGTTTAGCAGGGAATTGCAGCTCAGCAAGGAAGGGACAAATCCTTGTGAAATTACTGCAGGGCACTTCCCTGTTTCTGGCATGGTTCAGAATGGAGGCTGTTGTGCCACTGGGGTAGAAAGGTGACCAAAGAGGCTTTTTCCAGAGTTTCTATTAGTAACAAACTGGAAGGCAGATCTCTAAGAAACACAACTGGGATCTGTCAAAGAAATGACCAACAGATACTGTGCAGCTTTGGAACAGAAGGTTGGCATATGTGACACTGACTCTGTTCCTGGATCTGTCACTAGCCAAGCATAACTATTTTCTGTGTGTGGGTAATAGCAGGTCCTTCCTCGCAAAGCAATTTCAGGGGTTTAGCATTTGTAAAATATTCTTGTGCCTTCTTACATGGGGAGTCAAGGATGACATCAAATTGGAGGAAGGCAGACTGCAGTGTTTCATGTTTGCAGGACTCTAAGTAGGACTTATGGCTATAGTGTTAAGCTGTGCTGCTGATTGGCAAAGGCTTGGGCATCTGTTGATTCTGAAAAGCCCAAACATCTTGCTACTTGGTGATATATGCCTGACTGTTGCTTTTAAAGTGTTAGGCTATTTACCATGAGCCTAACCTAGAACAGAAATGGGAAAATAAAAAGATCAGCAAACTCAAAACCATTTGACACTCAAACTGTTGCTTCAGACTGAGCAGAAGCAGCAAGGCAGCTGTTCTCAGTTTGCATAACTGGTTCCATATGTAAGCGCAAGCGAGGGAGGGAAGGAGCACACACTGAAGGGAGAGGCCTATGAATTGCTTCTGTCCAATCCTCCTTGAGCTTCAGAGTGCATTTTTTTTAACAGGCTTTTTCCATGATGCCATCGCACCTTCCTCTGTAAAGCTAGGTTGTCTTTCAGTCAGTACACCTCAGATAATATCTCCTAGGGAGCACAGGGCAGAAGAACATAATAACCTTCATGGCTGTGAGCAAAGGGAATTTGTGGAGTTTTCAGAGTAGTTTAAATACCCTCTTGAGATTGAAAATACTCATCATACGAACACCAAGTCATTGAGAGCATGAAGTGATGCAGGTAGGAGGAAGGCATTGCTGATGGTGGCTGAATAAATTAATTTCCCTCCCCACTGTGTAGGAAGGTATGGTCATGCTGTGAAAACTTCTGGGTCCTACCAAAATGTATCCTTCAAAAATACTGATGAGACTCTAAGTTCGGAGTACTATGTGCCACCTGATGCAGCACTATTCCCTTTTGCAAAATACCCTTTTGCCAGTGAAGATTTTAATTTTTTTTTTAAATTGACTCTGATCCTTCTCAGTCCTGCATAATGGAGGTACAAACTGTGCCAGAGGGTTTCAGCTTGTTTATGGGCTGTGTGTGAGGGAATGTGGCAGAACTGGAATGTGGAGACTGAAGGCCATTCATCCCACCAGGAGTCTCTCTGTGGGCTTTGATAAGGTTTGATAGACTCCAGTGCTCTGTGTCTGCATTATTTAAGAAGGAATTAATTGCTCAAAACATCAAGGGGTGTGGGTAGGAGACCCAGAATAGCAGCTAAGTTTGTCATACAGCCCATCTGCCCTGAATGACTCCAGGGGGTTAAGTGCACTGACACAACAGTGTTTACAGCTGTTTACACCCCAGAAGTGGTTGCATTTCAGCACCAGCTAAAGCCACTCATAAAGAGTGCACCTCCTTGTGTAAGAGCCCTTGATTCATGGAAGATGTCATCATATCATTGCTATCTCATCCAGGTAGCCCAAGGCCCTGGCAAAGACATTTTAAAAAATGCACACTTTGAGTTTGCTTTATCTCCCAGATTACCTGCAAAGTCGGCATTACATCCCACTGCCTTTGGCCCCAACACAGAGACCAGATGGAGAGCTCTGTTGATGAAGCAGTTTTGTATCAAAAGGGTTGGCATCAGCCCCATTGCTTGAAGGTGTTTCTCGTGCTTCTAAGTCATACTTATTTTCTTTTCGTGCTGCACATTTGCTTATTTTTTGATTCCTATGCTTCTAAAAAACACTTCAATTTTATGCCTCTGCTGAATGGAAAAAGGACCTAATGGAAACACATGTAAGCTAGCACAAAAGAAACCCCAGATCTTAACTGGCTTGTACGTGCAAGAGAACATTTGTTCCTATAGAGCAGACCAGCTGTTCAGCAATTCTGCTGGCTTGCCACCTAAAGTACCTCTTACGTCTTGTTTTAGGTGAAGGTGTGAGGTGTCTGCCCTAAGTGTGATACAGGAGTTTCCCCCTTGCCCTGCTGTTTGATCTGTACCCTGGAGCCAGAAATTTTGTAACTTTTTATCTTTCTTAGTTGGAGATGGAATTGGAGACTTGCTCGTCTTCAAATATAACTTGCTTTGAATCCTGCTGATTTTCAAACAGCATCCTCTAGCAGTGAATTTCAGGGATTTAGAATGGATTTCTGTGGTGGAATGAGGTGGTTTTGTGGGGAATATCATGGTTCATGTGATTTTTCTGCTAACATAACTCGGCTGGAGCAAGAGTCCCACTGCCTTTCTTCCCATCTTTGTGCAATTTGATTTTGGCAACCTGTGAAGCTATGGGCGTTTAATTCAAGATTTCTTTTCCTTGCCAGATGTGAAATACCTTTCTCCTCTGATCTGTGCTGTCTTCATTGTCATGATCCCTCTCTGGGTTGCTATCGCCAAGCAAAGCCCTTCTCTTGCTGAAGTCCTGAAATCTGGATGGCAGCCGGTTATTGTTGCAATGAGCATCAGCAGGTAAACCAAGGAGCAGCTCCCAAGCCCACACATGTATTCACACTGCAGAGAGACCCTGTGCTCACTTAGAAGGCCATCAAAAGTGAAACTGGAAGAGAGAGCAGAAGGGTATTTGTCCAGAGCTTCTGAGCCACTGGTGGCCCTCCCACAGACTGTGAAATAGCAGATAAGGAGCCTCCAAATCACTGGAAAAAGCAAATCATTTTAAGTCTCACACATCCAGGCACCACGTGGGTGCAAGCTAGGAAACAGAAAACAAAGATGATGACCATCACAAATTGTCAGGCTTCAACTTCATTTTTATCCAGCTGTAAAAAGAAAAGACTGGTTAATGCAGAGGCAGGTAGTTCATTCCTCCTGTGCTGCATGTTTCAGATCCAACTGAGATCCGAGAGAGAATTTTTAAAAACTTCTGAAGCCGGTATAGAAGTGTGAAAAAGCTTTGGAGGAGGGTGATAAAGCTTCCCTAACTACTACCAGTTTTGCTTACGGGTGGGCCAGGAGGTCTCTGTGAACTCATTATGCCATTAACAAAAACTGTAAGGTTACCTGTTGGTGGAGACTGAGCTGTAAAAGGAGTACCTGGGCAAATCAGTCCAGCCCTGGCAATGGGGAAGACGCAGTAACCCATCTCAGTGTGCTACTTTCACAGCATAGGAATTGATCCACACTCACTGCCTGTCCTTTTTTTAACAGCATTGGTGGGCTCATCCTGGACAAAACTGTAACTGACCCAAACTTTGAAGGCATGGCAGTTTTCACACCTGTGATTAATGGTAGGTTGGGCATGGGGGGATTCTCTGCTTTTATTTATACCTACTCCCCAAGGGTTGTGGTATCCACTGTTGCCCCTAGACAGAGGTCAGAGTTCAAAGTCCCTCCTCCCATCATGAGTGGAAGCAAAGCTACTGGTCCCCATTACATCCCTGCTTACTCATGTCTTGAAGCATCTCTGGAGCAAAACAGCAGGCAGAGCTGGAAAATACTGGCAGAGCTGTGGGAAAGGTTAACAGCATCTGATAGTTGTCTCTGAGAGCTACATTGACACTGTTCATAACATCAGACCTATTAGGATGTCACAATAAATCCATTTTCCCTTGTCAGTCTCCCTCCACTTGGTAATTTGAGCTGTGAAATCATCCCCTATACAGGTTGTTGAAAAAGATCAATATGTTAAGATTAGATATGTGTATGTATATAAAAGATTATATATATGGATTGCATATAGAGGGATTTTTATGTATTTATCTCTCAAGACCTTATGTGTGTATATTTATATTTATTGGAATCCTCACAGTACTTTTATACACACACATATCATTACAAACTGCTGGGGATCCTGGTATCATTGAGGATCCACTGTTTTATTTTTCTGCTGTTATAATGTTCCTGTAGGACAGGCCCATTCCAAGGGAAACCCACGTTCCTAGGGTAGGCTTGGCCTCATGCCACTCTCAAAGCATGGTGTCCTCTTGCAGTGTCAGAGGGTGTCACCCAGCTGTCACCTTACTGGATCTGCATAAAGACAGCCACCTTGCTGACAAATCCTTTCCAGCAAGGTTACCCAAAAAATCTGATTGGGAGAGTATGTCAACAGCAGTTTAGTTGAACAGTGATTGGCCCAGACATCGCCCTGTGGGGGCAGGTGACCTGTTTGGCAGAGCTGGTGGCAGAGTTGCTCAGTGCTCTCTGTCTTTGCACAAGTAGCTCTTCACCTGTGCAGGGGAGTCCTGCAAAGCGTGGCAGTGCAGGGTTCAGAAAGTTTCCATCTTCAGCTACGGTGACATAGTCTTAGTATTTGCTTTTTGATTCCCATCTGGAAAATCTCATATTTAATGATGGAGAACTTTCTTCTTCAAGGAAGGGAAAACATGAGAAGCCTGCAGCATCTGGCTCCCTTTTATCTTTTCTGTGGCATTTCTACCCTGAAAATACTCAGGGTGGTGGAATTTTACTCTGTAGATCATTATTCCTCTATTTTCTACTTGAAAATGTATCTGCTTTTTCATGTTTTCTGGAATTAATCAGTCTGTAAGGAATTAATTTCCTTTTAATTAGCTAGCATATTTGGGCTCTAATTCATTCTCGTGATTTCTTCTCATTTGACAAAGTCAGATGCCTTAATACAGACATATAATCACTCTCTGTGATGTTTGTTGTCTTTTAAACAATAATGGTTCTCTGGATGAGTAAATCCAAGAAGTGGCCATGAGCAGCATCTGCCACTGCCTGCACTGCTTTCCCCAGGTGTTTTTAACAGGCTGTGTCAAACCAGGTGCAACTACATCATCTCCAGAGGCCGTGTGGCATTTACACCCAGTGCTGGGGAGCAAGAGAAAAGGTTTTCAATACTGCAGTCAGAAGGAGACGATAACTGGAACCTTCCTGATTTTTAGAAGCTGTTCCTGCAAAGCGAATAGCCCAGCATCACCTTGACGTGTGGGATCAGACTTCCTCTTTTTCTCACTGCTGCTCTCTGTGAGCTTGTAAGTGAGTGCAGATCAACTCATCTTGGGTTAGGTTTTAGGCTGATGTTTCCTGCTGTGCTGAAGGTGTTTTACACGTTTTCTGTGTTTTGCCCTCATAGGTGTTGGAGGGAATCTGGTCGCCATCCAGGCCAGCCGAATTTCTACATTCCTGCACTTCTGGAGCATGCCTGGAGTTTTGCCGTACAAGATGAGGCAGAATTGGCCCAACCCATGCACCACATTCTTCTCATCAGGTAGACCCTGAACTCTAGGTGTCCATGTCTCAAGGCCTGTCACCACAGATAGCTCCTTTACCAAGCCTGGTTGGAAAAGGTCTAGGTGGGTTTCAAAGGCAGAACTTCCCCCTTACAGGGAAAACACTCAGATCAGAGAAGAAGCATCTTTGCAGTGGGCAGTGTGAAAAACAGGCTTGTTCACTGCTCACTGGCATGGAAAGAAAGTAGCCTTCAGGGAGCACTAAAGAAAGTAATTGAAAAAGAATCTTAGATTTGATCTAATAGAAAGTCATTTTAACCATGGCCAGCCTAGAGCCATAACCTGTGGATAGAAGGGTGAATAGACCATAATCTTGCTGAAAATCAGCAAGTTCTTCATCTTCAGCATTGGATATACTTAAGCATCAGCAAAATTCGATTTGGGTCTGTTGTCTTTATAGATTGCAGATTCCTCTTGATTTTCCCTGCTGGGTTAGGAATCAGTGCTAGATCAAACTATAATCTGGGAAAATGTGTTGCAGCTAGACAGAGCAGAAGTTGTGGGAGGCAGAGAGCAGCTGAGAGGAGTGTCTGCGAGAATTGGAGTGGATCAGCATGGAGCTCACAGTCCCTGACACACAGTTTCAGTGCTAGACAAAGCTGCTGGGCTGATCCTGCAGATGCTCCCGATTGCTTTGTGATCTAGAAAAGGCATTAGCAATGTTGCTGGTGGGAGGGGACAGCCCCAAGTCTATGCAATAAATATGGGTCCTGTCTTCCCCCTACCCTCTGCAGCTGCTGTTACCCCCCTTTCTGTCTCTGTCCTCTGCAGAGGTGAATTCCAAGTCAGCCCGGGTCCTGTTCCTCCTGGTTATCCCAGGTCACCTCGTGTTCCTCTACACCATCCATCTGCTGCAAGGAGGCCACACATCTCTGTCCTTCACCTTTGTGATGTTCTATCTGACTGCTGCTTTGCTGCAGGTAAACCCCAAACTCTCAACAAAAAGGAACCTCTCAGATAGCAAGAAAAAAAGCCTTCTCCAGGCTAAACAGGAGTCACAGTAAAACATCCAACAGCAGCCACCCTTTTCTGTCATTTCAGGTGTGCTTCTACCAATCATCATGTACCTTCTGTGAGTCCAGTAATACTTCACCCAAGTTGTGAGGGTCTAGTTTCCCTTATGAGCATGACTGCAGTTTAGGGTGAGTGAGGGATCAGATGTGAGATGAGGAACAAGTTCTTGTCCTCCACTGAGCTGCAGTAAGTGTGCAGAGACACATTTAGCAAGGAAGTACCTTGTTTTAAAATGTTCACTCCTTGAGTCCCTAAGCTCCCACTATTTCTAGGCTGCCACTTGTCATTCCAGGAAGAGGCAAGTGAGAAGCAGTGAACTCCAGCCAGCAGGTTTCCTCACTCATTTTGGAAACCAGTGTCACATATTATGGGAATCCATCGGGGCAGGGCCATGTAGGTCATAAGTGAAGGGAAAACCCAGGCCTGAGCAGTTCATCTTTGAAAATAAAAGTTCTGGATAGGCAATGGGCAGTTCATTCAATTTGTTGTGCCTGTTCTCTTTTGCTGTTTGTCCTGCCCTGTAAATTTTGTCATCTCACCCAGAAATGCATGTTGCTGTTGCCTGAACTCACAGAGGCTCTAACTTCACTTGCCCTTTTAAATCAGTGATTCATTAATTTGCAGGGTGAGGTGGCTGACTCTCACTTTGCCTTACAAGCAGCGACGTGTCTTCGGGTGAATTCCTTCTGTGTGCAAACAATCAGTTTCTCTCGACCTTTGCACAACCCTAAGCCCAGCAGCACAGCCACAGTTGTAAAGGAAAATATTTATTCTTCTCTTTATGCATCGAGGTAACACCTCAACTAAAGCCAAGCATGAAAATACACAGAATAAATGACAGCGTAAAGAGCAGCATCCCAGCAACACCACTGACCCTGAAAGATTCCCATGGAGGCCAGTGGAGGAGAATGCATTCAGCCTGCTTCTTTTTCCCCCTCCGTTATACTTTGTAAAGAAAGACAGAAAGAAAGATGAGGGGGGAAGTTTAGGTCAGCTGGAGGAAGCCCAAAGAGAAAGATCAGAAGCCTAGAAAACATGACCTCAGAGGAATAATTGAATGGACAGGGGTTAGCTAGTCCAAAGAAGAGAGGCTTGAGAAAAATATGGTTAATATCCTTTAAACTACCAAATTTTTGGAGGGAGGGGCAGAATAACATTTACTATGTGGTCACTAGGGAGGAAATATGAAATCATGGATTTCAAATGGAAAAAGGCAGATTTATGTTAGACCTTGGGAAAAACAGAAACAGAAAAAAGAAGCCATGGGACTGATTGCTTAGAGTGTGGCATCTCCAGCTCTGAGGGTTGTTTAGCACAGGTTAAGCAAATTTTCCATCAGGCGCATTTGATCCTGAATTGAGGCAAAGGAATGATCTGTGTAAAACTCTTGAATTTCCAGCCAGCTTTAGTTTCTGTGATTCTGTTATTTAATTTGCTTCCCCCACCTCTCCTCCTCCCTTTCCCTCAACCAATTTTCACCTTTAGAAATGCCACCTCCGGCTTTGGTTCCTGATGTGCTGTGGTCTCCCATGGAGGGACCACAGATGTGGAGAGTAAACTCCCTCTCTCCCTTCTTAATTCAATTAACAAGACAGTCTTTAATCTTTAACCGAAGCATTTTTCTTCCATCTGTTTATCAGAACTGGGAATGAAATAGGTATTAAAAGAAATCACAACAAAGATTTTTAAACTATTGAGGTAAAAGAAAAAGAGAAATTATTTTATTCTTTTAGCATGTCAGTGCTACTTGGGATAACTTTGATGTAAAAACTACCTCAAACTCCAGTTGTCCACTGAGACTTTTAGGAAAAACAAAGTACATGTGATCTGAATTTCTAATGGAAAAAAGAAGTTATCCTTTGGGGTTTCCTGCATATTCAGAGCAGCCCTGTATCTGGTGGAATGAACGGGAGCAGTCCAATTCAAGGCATGCGAAGTAGGAACTGTACCTTTGGGAGAAGCTTTTGGTGTAGCCAGACTCGTATTTTAAACAGGAGATGCTGGTGAGCAGTTCAAGTGGGGTTCTCCACACTTGTGGCTGGCAGCACAGGGCAGTGGCATCAAGGGTGGTGCCAGGCAATGCAATGCCAAAGAGTAGGAACCAGATACATCCATCCCAGTGCAGCTCCATCCTGCAGGGAAACAGCTTTTCTCTGGGGATGGTGAGAGCTCTCAGTGATCCCTGTTAGCTCTGGTACCTTGGCCATGACCATGTCACTTTGGGTGTGAGCTGACGGAGATTGGATGTTGCCTTCTTGCTGCCTCACAGCAGGGCCTTTCTTGCCTCTACCCAGGTGGGAATCCTGCTCTACGTGGCTGACCTAATTGTGCGTCTGATGTGGAGGAAGGCTCTGGATCCGGATAATTTCTCCATCCCCTACCTCACTGCCCTGGGGGATCTCCTGGGCACTGGATTCCTGGCCATCTGTTTCCGCCTGGTTTGGCTCATCCATGGCACAGACATGAACCTGGGGAACTGAGAGACCACGCGCAGATCCGCGTCCCTCGTGCGATACGGTGCTTTCCTCTGGGACAACAGGGTACTTGGCGATGACTGCTGGGTCACCCAGCTGGATTGGGCCTCCCCTGCCACCCTGACACTTCCCCTCCCCATCGTGCCTTACGGCTGGGCTCGCCCGCCCCGAGGAATCAGCACCCACAGACTTGCACCCTGGCAAGTGAGCGAGCCGGTTTTAAGAAGCGCCCGCTGCTCACACCTGCACCCAACAAACAAGGGGCTAAGGAGTGTTTGGGCCATTGGTAATGAATGAGCATTTTGGTCGGTGGTTTCAGTCCACCTACACGGCCCTGAGGCTGCTCCAAAGCCTGCCGAGGTCACTGCACCTGATCCTCCAAGTGGATGTTGCAGCCCCTCCATTGGTAACTCTGACTTTCCCTCAAGGGAAATTCTTCATTCACCCCCCTTTCCTCCTGCTGAATCCCTGGAGGAGAGCAACTAGGTCTTTAAACTTGTCTCCTCTCCATCGCTCAGACAGATGCTCAGGATCTGAGGCAGTGAGCTGCTGGCTCCCGCCCAGCAGGAGGTTATGTAGGGATACCACCTACCTGCCCTGGCAGCATCACTGGTGTCTGACAGACAAGCTGGTTTGATTGCATTTTGGGGGTAGGAAGGTTTGTTTTTACGGTTTATGAAATACCCAGTAGTTAAAATGTTTATAGAAACACATATATAAATAAAGTGGGTAAAAAAAAAAAGAAATGCTGTGGATTTGGGGATTGTTTTTTTCTTGCTATGACTCTGCCTTTTTCTAGTTCTAACTTGTCAGGTAGAACTTCTTGCTTCTTTCTCATCCATTCAGGTTGGACAATGCAATTTTAATAGAGCTTCTGGAAAATCAGTGTTTCCTAACCAAGAGCAGCCTTTTGCTGGCCACGTTTCAGGTTAGAATTAAAGCCCATTCCCTCTCCCACAACTGCCATCCACTCATTAACAATTGCTCTGGGATGTGTCTTGAATCTGTGTAAGGCTTGTGTTGGGTTGGGTGACGACTGGGCATGAGGATGTGGCCAGTGACTCCTTCAGTCCTCACTCCAGGGCGGCTCTGGTGCTGTCAGGGACACGTCAGGGAGAGGTTGTGGGGCTGAAAACATCCAATTCTCACTGCAATTGAAGAAGCAATAGGGTCATCTGGATAATAAGATGCTGAAGAGTCAGGAGTCAAGGACATGGATCAAACCTTTGAAAAATGTCACTAGGCCTCAACTTGAAGAATAATCTGCCACCTTCTTGTTGGAGAAGGGAAATGGGAGGTCAAGTCCCCC